GTACCTGATTTTAGAAGTTTAAAAATTTAAAGTACTATTTTATATAATAACCACAAAGTTTAATAGCAACTTATTTGTGCCCAACAAGGAATGGGCTGTGGGCCTTGCCGGGCCAGGAAGATTTTTGTAAAGACAGGCATAATACATAATCTGCAGGTCATGCCCAAGCCCAATAAAAAGGCTTGACACACCGAAGAAATGAGGCCAACGCATCCAATTTACACTAGCTACAACAAGTGTTGTGTTGTAGCCTCAAAAACAGCTCTTTCACATCCCACTTAGGCTCACCAATAATATGAATTACATACTCAGCTTAAGCAATCTAAAGCATAGATATATTGACCAGAAGTTCGATTTTGGAAGGAAAAAAAATAAAGCTAAAACCGTGCCAGCTTTCAACTTAATGCTCCTTATCTCAATCAAGAGAGTTACAAGAACATTCTTCTTATTTGTACATGATAGATACCTCGAATAAATCCATATCTTATATTCCATTAAGGGTGATCACCACTTTACGTGGAGTAGCTGCATCTCGGTGTTCACATAGCCATATTCCCTGAAATAAAGAAGGCAATCATTAAGACATTATCCAGTCGATTATTTAGAAATCAATATGCTTGTTCAACAATTTTCAGAGAATGATGCGTCGTGTGTTAATAAATGCATAACAATCTCGGAAAAAAATACTTTGTCAGTAGATGGTCATGAAAGTATATAACACTATCCGACCTCTGAACCCAACTTGATTGGCGACCACCAATAAACCAGTACTTTGTTATCACATTACTACCCATGAACATCATCCACTCGGTTATTTAATAGCTTGTTGACAGTTTATTTATGCATGGAAGTTAGACCGGCAAATCACCTGACTACTTGCTCAAATAGATCATCTCCTATACCAAATGCAATTTTTTCTTATCTCTATTTGGCAACATTATTTTATGGATATTCTTCTTGTTACAACTCGTAATTTGGTAGTCGAATACATCTCCCATATGCAAAGTGGCATTTGTAAATGCCTAAAATCTCGTGAAGACATACAAAAAACCTACCCTGTTCCAACAGAGAAACGCACTAGAATTGCCATGAAACTGCAACAAGATGTAAAATTGCAGTAGAATGAACGGTTCATGCATCCTATTTGAAGATAAAAGTTCATGGCACTTCATCGGAAGTTCTCTTTAGACAACGAAGTAAATACAAACCAAAACATTTTACCCCGCAGCTTTATGAATTTATGTTCGGTAGTGAAATTTACATACTAAGAACACTTCTTTGTCCTAAGTAAATTATGTTAAGCACTTATAGATCTTATTAGCGTAAGAAACTGACACATTTCCAGGGATATGTTTGTTGTGGGGATTGAGAACCAAGATGCAAGTACATACCTGCCAAGTTCCCATGTTCAGTTTTCCATTGGTGATAGGTATCCTGCATGAGTAAGAAATCGTGATGATTATTGATGAATGACAAGTATCATTGAACTGTTTCAAAAAGGGGAACTCTTGAAGTGAAACATAAATCAAATCATAAGTTCAAAATTCGCACGTGAGGGAGCAGCCAAACATAGATGATTTGATGTGTGCTGGCATGTCATCTGGACCTGCAGAAATCACATGATGTTAAATCCCTGTGAGCAAATTATGAAGCAAAAAAGGCAATCAGTATGATTTACATCGTTGTTATACTATTAATTATTGTTTCTCTACTTATATCTTGGAATCTCTACACTTTTTTGGGAGAAGATACCAGTCTCCATCCTCAAACCCAAATCCTTACCAATTGAATCATTACTATTGATTGAAAAGCTATTACTTGTGGAGAGGTATCTTAAATAACTAGATAAGATTGGTCCGTGATATACTGTAACTTGTTCCCTTTATTTCACAAGAGATCAGGATCAATGTCTACAAATGAGGAAATTATTTTGTAAAATTGTCAAAACAGCTCCCAGGGAAATATAGTAGCAAGTTGTTTTTTTACAAGTCCAAAACAGCCGTACTCATGATGTAAAAGATTAGGTGCATGTTTGGATTTCCTTATAATCTCCTTATAATATAATGTCAAATATTAATTTTAACCATACATTTACTATCACTTATTATCCACAGACAATGGAATTGTATCACAATCAGAATTCAACAGGCTTTTCGACATATAGTGGGCTCCTTTCATTACTCCTCTTCATTATAATGAAACCCAAACAAGTACTAGAAAGACAATGGAATTAGAATTGAATAAGCTTTTTCACAGATAGTGAGCTCCTTTCAAAAGTAAGTGAAATTCAAGCAACACAAGGTATTCGAAGACAGCTTCTCATTTCAAATTTTTGCCTGCAGCTATAAGGAAAAAAAATCCTGGTTTATTGATTTGATAGCTTACATCAGCATCACCTCCAAAATTAAAGACTTCTACTACTGGATCATGATAGTTTCTTGCTCGCTCCTTCCCAAACCAAATAGTTCAGATTTATTTTTGTCACGAGAAAGATGGCCTGAGGGCTTCTACTACTGGATCATGATAGTTTCTTGCTCGCTCCTTCCCAAACCAAATAGTTCAGATTTATTTTTGTCATGAGAAAGATGGTCTGAGGGGTTGCAGGGTGGAGATTTTGGTGCACAATGGCAAGAAATATTTGGAATCTTTCATTGCCCAAACATTGTTGACAAACCTGCTTGTGTTTGAAGTCAAATCTAATCCAGAACTAAAATCAATAAATGGCATGTATGTGCATTTTACTAGGTGTGAACGCGTGAGACAGAGAAGGCAGGGGTTTCCATGTGCAAATGGCACTTTAAACAGATCACCTAAATGCATAGTCTTACAAATACAGCTTTATGTGGTCATGCATCATGAGATTATTGATTGCAGGTATCCACTCATTATAAGTAATTGACACTAGGGATAAGAGCGAAATACCTAGCATGCCATCAATGAAATAACTCAAAAGCATAAAATAAAGAGAGGAACTAATTCACACTACGATCTTTCTTTTGATTTAAAAAACTACCTTCCAGTGTATGTTTCCATGGTGCAGACATTCCCTGAAATCATGAATTTAAACAATTTAAATACTAGATGTTAACAGTATCACAATACAGACCCATGGAAAAACAAATGTACCTCTGGAACTACTCTGTTCAAAAATGTCTCAGTATCAGCCCTGACATCCGAGTCATAATTTTCATTTATAGTCAAAGAAGCACTTGTGTGGTGCACTGTTATGGAGACATACATTCAAAAGAAACAAGAGATATCTGAACTGACACAAAAATAAAGTAAGAGGAAAACTGAAGGACAATAAGTGGAGATCAACTCACGAAAAAAATGAGCAAGGCCACATTTGAACTCTGATAAATCTTGCCCAATTTCCTTCAGAATCTGAGACAAAATGGAAAATCGTAAATTGCGAAAGCAAAGAGACAATAACAGCAAAGTAGAACATCAGCCCTTAAATGTGCATTATACGATTCAACAATACAATCTTTTTGCTCAAATCAGTAAATATATTAATAAAATGATAGGAGATATATTACATTGCCCTTTCTTTATGTGGACAACAACTTCCAAGTAAGGTTGTACAAATTTGAACTTAAAACCAAATGGCAGGTTGAAAAATCATTTAGGGCTAGCCCATTTAACATTTTTAAGATGCCAGCTATTTACACATGAAATCTGAATTAGAAAGTTAAGATATGATCAACCATCAAAAGAAATGATAGATGTACGAAGAAAAACGTCAAGCAAGTAGAATTAGTTGCAGCATTGACCACCCCATTTTGGTAAAAATCCTCAAAGACATTAAATAGATATACTCTTATAAAAAATAACATTTAGTCATTCCACTGCCAAATTCAGTTCAAGTTCATACAAAATGCTTTTCCATCTTAACATGTTCTCCTTTTCACTGGCTCACAGATACTTCTCAAAACTTTTGACCTAGTGGCATGTAATAAGATATGCCAGAAACAACACTCAATTAGGCTAAGTGAACCAAACTTTTCAAAACTTCTGCTCCAAAAGTAATAAAGAACTTAGATATAAAATTTATAATTAAACTTTGATGTACTTTCATCTCCATTGAAACTCACTTTAAGGCCTCAAAAGTCATTTGAGTTAATGATCAGCACCGGATCACTATGGCATTACATAACCGTTTTCTGTAAGGGGGTAATCAATTCTAAGGAAGGGATAAACAAGACAATCAAGATCCTCATATCTTATTCCTTAGAAAACTGAATTAGTTATTTTCCTTTCCTTTTGTACACATTATCGCCCAGCCCCCAGTTGCGGATGAAGAATAATTTTTTTTTTTTTTGATAACCGTGGATGTCCGGGCAGCTTGCGCGCATCTCGACTAATTCCATAGGGCCTGAAGTTTACGGCCGGGTACTCACCTCAGTGGCCTGAGGGGACTCGAACTGGTGACCATTAGAAAGCAAACCACAAATGAAGAATAATTTGCCAACAATAAAATGCTCATATACAATCCAAAATGTAAAAATCATATCTAGCCACATCACCTTCTTCACCATATCCCCACCCATCTCTCACCATTTGGCCCGTATTCTATCTTTAATGTTAAGCATGAACTGCTATCATCATTCTTAAACTTCCACCTCGAAACCCTGCTTAAAATACCACCACCCGCATTCTGTCATAAAAATTTCAAGCTTGAATCAAGTTCAGCTTACTCAGCTATAATAGATAAAATACATAGAGAGGTGCCATGCTACTCAAGCAGTCAAGCTATCATGATGCCTATCTATTCCACAACCCGAAATTGAGCCTAGCTATTGCGTATGAAAAAATCCCAAGTTAGATGAGCTCCTTCTCTTAATTGTTGTTAAGAATCTTAGACCATTAGATGACCATTTAAACCGAACATTCCCAAAATCCTGATCAACGGAGAAACGTCCTTCTCTAGATTAAGAAATCAAAACATATGAAATAGGTCTCGATAACTTCAATGTAGAAGAAAAAACAAGGCATGCTAAATTTCTTTGCTTAACCTCGTTTTTTGGTTGAGTTGCAGACCTTGGAAGTAATGAGATGGCAGCCTCGTCTCTGGGCAGGAATAGTTACAGTCTTCTGAGCCCATTTAGGAGCTGTAGCAGTTTCAACAGTCGCAGCAGATGCCATAGAAATCGAATTCGCAGAAAGCTGATTCTTGATTGTTCTACTGGGAGATGAATTGCGCGAAAAGTTTATTGCAATAGGGCCCGACAAGGGTTTCGATGCGGCAGTTTGATGCACGGATACAAATGACGGTGATGCGGGTGATACTAGTGTCAGCATTTCCCAGGCCCTGAGAATGGATCCCACTGCGACTGCACAGAGTAATAAAGCTACACCTAATATAGAGTAGAAGGTTAATGTCGAGAAGGTGTGTGAATTCGAGGCCATTCTGATTCGGGCGACGCAAGGATCGTTTTCACTTGGGCCCTTTGCATTCGTGTGGCACTTAATTTTTAGTGGCTATGGTTTGTCCAACAAAATTTTAAGGTTGCTATAGTCATTTTCTTCTCCCAAGTTTAAAAAGCTTTTAAGTGGATCAAATATTGTTTTTATTTACATATTTCATAAGATTCATAGTTTTATATATTAGAAAGAATAATGATATTTATCATCAATTAATATGACATTATTTAATATGCTCAATTAAATGTTCAATTATGTTATTAAATTAATTATACATTTAATGACAATTGTGATGTTGTAATATCAGTGATACTAAATAATATTACTCGCACTGCAAAATATACAATATACAATGTCACAAAGTTCGTATAATACGGATTAAAATTTAGATTTTAATTCAAGTGAAAGAATAATGATATTTATCATCAATTAATATGACATTATTTAATATGTTCAATTAAATGTTCAATTATGTTATTTAATTAATTATACATTTAATGACAATTGTGATGTTGTAATCCCAATGATACTAAATAATATTACTCGCGCTGCAAAATATACAATATACAATGTCACAAAGTTCGTATAATAGGGATTAAAATTTAGATTTTAATTCAAGTCAAAATTAATTATTAATTTTGACCATATATTTCATAGAATTCACAACTTTTCAATTATATTTCATCAATTTTTATCAAAATTTACTAAAAACGTGATTTTGATTTTCACCAAACGTGGAGCCAAGTTTATTTTAGAAGTTTTATTCTAACTTGTGAGTTTTTTAATACATTCATCTTTTGCTAGAAATTTTATTAAATGGGATCATTTTAATACATTCATCTTTTGCTAGAAATTTTATTAAATGGGATCATTTTATCGTGCAAATTGATTGCAGTGTCATTTTATTAAAATATCATTGAGCTAAATTTTAAATCGACTAGAAACTTTCTACAATTTTATCTAATATGACGAGAATAAGAGAAAAAGTTGATAAAAATGCCTACATTCAGGGGCGGACTCAGATAAATTTTTGAGTGGGGGCGGAGCCAACTCGTCGAAGTAGGGGGGTCCAAAGTTGAAGGGGTGGCGGCTTACGGGGGCTGTCCCCGAATTTTTTTTTTTCGGAGTTGTTGAATAGTTTAGATTTAGCCGCATTTTCCCAACTAGTTCATGCTATATAGGCCATGAAGAAGCCTCTCACCCTGCATCAAACCCACAAATATATTCACTCTGGCCATGCAATAGTTTTTGCAATCACAGGTGGTCAAAATGAGATTTACATAACATACCAATTCTTCAGCAATATTAGCCACCTGAACTACTACGTGGCNAAGTATAAAACCGCAAATTCAACTCTTAAATCATACTCGAACAAATTTAATAAAAATGTTAGACCCTCCAAACACCATAAAATAAAAAGGATTAAGGTCAAATTTCCGAACTCATTTGCCCACTACCACAATCTTTTAATTTTTGGCGGTTGTAATTTTAGGTCATTTATGGTTGTTTTATGGATTGTATATGTGAGTTGATGTACGGATAAGTAAAATCTCGATAAATGAAAGTTCGATAAATTAATAATCTCGCTTAAATAATAAAATTTTTCAATTCCGATTTGAGCCAGTGTACTAAATTAGTAAACCCTATTAAATGCATAAGATAATTTTCTTTTCTAAGATCCTTTAAGGCAAACAAATACATAAAATAAAAATTGCTTAAATTCGTAAAAGTTCATACTAATGATTGTAGAAATTATTTTCTATGTATATACATGAAATAACTTAAACGATTAATCTTTCAAGATATTAGCCAATGCATGTACATTGATGTTTCCTTTTTAATGTATGTACGTGTGTGCCTTTTTGTGTGCTTATAGATTAAATTTTGAATTTTACCACATTCAATCTCCTGTTGTTTGGACTTACTTCATACTTAATTCATTTACTATCGATAAATTAATAAACTCTTTAAATTAATAAATTTTATTGGTCTCAAAGTTATTATTTTATAGAATTTTTATTGTACGTTTAAGAACATGGTTAAAATGTTAGTGTAGTTTGAAATTTATATATATTTTTTATTATTCACTGAGTTCAAGAATGCAAGGACCTTTTGATGTATTGATTGGTCAGCACCAGTGATAGACCCAGGATTTTGGGTCAGCACAGGCGGCCGTGGATCGTCGACCGTTGTCAGCAATAAAATATTAAGAATCTCGTTTGATACTCTTTTTTTTTTTTTTGCAAAAAAGTGCATTTTGGAATAGTGATTCGATGGAAAATATGTGATTAAAAATAAGAAAAAATTTTGAATTTGAATGTAATATTATTTTATTGAAAATTGTGCGGTTGAAAAAAGAAAGAAAAATGTATTTTAAAAAAAGAATCAAATAAGGTCTAAAATTTAAATATAACAATTATTTTGTTCAAACTGAACATATATAATTTTGTTGTAAAAATTAGCAATATTCACCTAATAATATTGTGACCAAATTTTGTATGATTCAAAGGAAGAGCATAGGTTCAAATTTTTAGAATTGCATTATACTCACGAAAATGTAACATATATTATTTTGGTAGATTTAGAATTAAATTCAAGAAGTGTCACAATGGTCAAACTCTCACTATCCTAAGGAGGGGTCACGGTTTTGAATCATCTCTCCATCTCATTTAATTTTGGTAAAAGGTAAAAATTAAAGTATTAAAAATCTTACATAATAAAGACAGTGGGAAAGAGATTCGAAAACAAGACCTCCTATATGAATATAAGAGCTCTACCCAATTGAGCTATAAGAAACATTTGAAAATAAAACAAATCACCATATATATAATCTAAAACGTTTATTCATTGTCAACCAAAAAAAATTGTTCTTAGCGGATCCAGCACGGGCAGCCGCGAGGGCTCGTCGTGTGCTGGGTCCGCCCTTGGTCAACACTCATCAAATTTCGCAATGTTGAACACTTGTTTCTCATTTTTCTTGTGACACGTTTCTCAATATTTTGGATAGTCTTGTGCTCTCACACCTACAACGTTGTAGTGCATAAGTACATTGAATCAATTATATTGAAACTAGCGGGAAAATGTAGTGCAATAAGGGTAACAAATATATGATGCACAAGTACCTATAGTGTCGTTGAAATCCTAATAGCGTCGTGTTTGAATATATGTCTTCGTTTCTTAAGGACCTCATCGACTTTCTTTTGACATTTCCCCCGAGTTGTATATTGTGAGAGAAGGTTGTAAGGCTTTTGTCCCTAAGGATATGCATTGAATATCTATTTGTTGTCAACCATGACAATTCTGTTTCATCAACATGGGTTTTTTTGTGAGCTGACACCGTAGAATCTAGATAGATTAGTAATCTCAATTTATATTTATTTGTAGAAGCTTCGCATTTGTCAAAAGTTACCTTCAATTCGTTGCTTTTAACAACCTTCCACCCACCAAAGTGATATGCTTTCAGCATGCAGACCCTTTTTCGGCGTTATACATTTGTACTCCCAAGTAGAACATCATACAACATGCTAGCGATTGGGGTGAACTCATTCATGTCGAATTTTTCCACTTTTTCTTTAGACATAAACCATCCTTATTTTTAGTTACTGCACCTAATCATCTTTTAAATCAATTCATGTATGAGCTTAGCAGAGAGAACTTCAACTTCGTCGCCTTAACACAAGTGTAGAGGCAAAATTTCACCGCGTATTCGTTACCAAGAACAGACCTTACCTTTCAAATTGTTTCTCACTTGCTGCATGATATGGATGTGGAAACGAAATTCCTCATCAACCTAATATCCGTATTCCATCTGCATGCAACATGGCAGCACATAATCAATCAATATGGACATGAAATTTTTGTATAGTTCATGATTTCCTGCAATGTATAATCATGAGACAAGAATGCATAGCAATTTAATCACTTAAAGTAAATACAAAAAAAAAAAAAAATTTAAACTTCTCCATCAAATAAATAAACATTAACATATTCTATGTGCGAATGAATTCAAGATTGTCCTTGAGTTGTAATTTGAATGTTTTTTAAACAAGAAGATGGGTCTTATAATAAGGTAAACTACAATGGTTTTTCGTGTTGGAAAATGTTGAAATTCTCATGAAAAGACATCAACAGGAAAGGGTACGAGCAGAAACAGACTTGACTCTTGATATCATAATTTATAAGCTGGTTAAATACAACTACTTGTATATTTTTTAGCTAAACTTTCCTTCTTTAATGAATGAAGCTTTTTACTAACACTTTGTAGTACTGTCAAGAGTCAGTTATAGGAATTTACCTGGGACTGCAATGTAGGAATTATATTTCTCCCAATGTTTTGTGCACAGTCCAAATTTATATAATGTTGTTATTGTCAAACTGACCAATATAACTGACAATAAACAAATAATAAACGATAGATTTTTCTATTGAGGCCTGCATTTGTATCCAGCAATTTGAATACAGTGACATTGTATACATCATATTGAGGGAAAGAAATAAGAATTTTGGAAATGGAATTTCTCATTCACTTGTATATAAATAAACTGTACATTCACATTAAATACTAGAAGAAAAAAGATGGGAAAAAACATATACAACCAACTAACTAAATTTCTGATTCTCCACATCAAGATAGACTGTGCATGTTGATGACAGTCATCTTGGATATAATTCCATACAAGTTATGTGGAAATTAAGAAGCAGTTGATGTATTCATACAAGTTCATTGGCAGTAGAAGCCAATGCACGATATCCAGCTTTAGTAAAGGATCTTGATATTGTGCTTTGCTTTTTGGTCTTCCAAGACACCATGGAATCTCCAATAAACACACAAAACTCCGTGACTGATTTTCTGGAATCTAAGCATGAGCCCCAATCTGCATTAGCAAAGACACACAATTGTATAGATGATTCAGTAGAAAATAAGAGACCTTGTCTTGGAGTTGCTTTGATGTATTGAAGTAGATGATGAACAGTTGTTAAATGAG